TTATAAGGTATTAGAACTTGCAATTCACACTGTAGGCATTATCACAAGAACAGGTTCCACCAGCATGTGAAAGCCAGGAGCAGATTGGCTTCACAACATAACATAAGTGCTTCTACACAATCTGCTCATACTGATGCTCCTGATGCCATCACTTTGGATGGAGTAGAGGGACAAGGAATGCGCTATGGAACTTTGTGTTCCCAAGTCAAGCTGATTTGTGTGGAAGTTCACAAACTACTGAAGAGTGTACATATGCACTCGGTAGGAGGGAAGTGTAGAGGAATGCAAGGATAAATAACTTGCTGGGTCTTTGCCAGTAAACAGTGTTTGCCCACAGAGTCTGAGGTGAGGAGAGGCAAGTATGTCTGTTTGAACATTGAGAGCAAGTTAGCACTCAAGACATTTGTACTTGTTTCATCTGTGCAAAAGCATATTTCAGCTGTAGCCCTGTCTAGCAGGCAAAAGTTAAAGTTGACTTTTTGTGGTGCATAAATATGATGTTATGAAGAGCTCATGCATCGGGCAATTTTAAATAAGAAGTGTCAGCCTTTCCCCATCTCCCCCAGTTCATCACCTCTTAAGTAAGCTGTCCCATGGTTGGTGGAGTAGTTACCAGTTCTTTTAGAATTGGCTTGGATGAGACTGGCTTGATAAATTATATGAGACCTACTTAAATATTTTGATAGTAGTCAAGAGTAGGTACTGCCATTGTGTTTTGTTTGTGTGTGTGTGTGTGTGTTTGTGTGTGTGTACACATGCATGCGCGCGCACACACACACACACACACACGTGCGCAGTCCTGAGTGCTCTCGGAAGCTGCTCTGATTAAATCACCCACTGCGTCTTACGTAGTCAGCGTCACACACTTCAAAATAGCAGTGGGAGTGCATTGACTAAAACTTGTTTGAGCTTTAGTTAAAGTGCTGCAGCTGCCATTTTGAAATGTGGGGACACTGAATACACGAAACGCCAAGGCTGCTGGAGTGATTAATAGCATCTGCTCCTATGCACTGTAATTACAGTGTGTTAGAGCAGGCATCCCACATGAGGAGGAAGAGAATCCACCCTACTTTGGCATTATTACTTTTTCAAGGATTTCACCTGGGTGGAATAAGCCCACTTAGATGCCCAGTAAGTAGACAAAGGTGGTCTCAGTATTTTTTCTAAAATTCTTTTATGACTCCTGTTTTGGGTTCCAAAATAAAAATCCCCCAACAGAATAAATTGTTGTATGTGAGAGAGAGACTCAATAAAGAAATTATTTTCTGTTTCAGAAAACTGAGTTTTTAACTAAATTTGAAGCCATAAGCATTATGGTAAGAAATCCGAGAAAAATTGAAAACCAAGACAACTCATTTTGAAAGAAAAAGAAAGGAAAGTTGGCTGGTTAGAAAGATTGGCTAATCAATCAAGCTACTTAACTTCAAAGGCACAAAACTATCATCTCTTGTATTACTTTTGTAAATGCTGCTACTTTATTTGTGATGAGGTAGCATAACAGATGAAGCTAGCCCTAAAGGGACAGGTTGTCTGCTTTAGTCCAGTTAGCAGCAGTCATTCTATATGTAACTAGAGAGCAAAGACTTGGTAATCTGTTCTGTTGCACCATATGCTAAAACAGTGCTGATAAGCAAGTGTGAAAAATGAAAGGGAGGAATACAATAATTACTTTCGTGCAATAAGGTATGCTATCAAAGGTAATTATTTCATGACAGTTTTAGTTATAGCAGTTGTTTTATCATGAAATAAAAAATGGCTTTAGGAGCCTTTTATTGGAAAGACAATTGTATCAAATTAGTACCAAATTAGATTTTTGTCTTTATAAAGGTGAGCAAACCCATGAGCAGTTTTTAAATTGGTGTGTTCTATTCTACAAATGAATAAACCCTGTTTGAGGGTTAAATAAGCTATTATGCTGTCCTTTATGCTGACAGCTTCATTACTGATTGGCCTACTGTTGGTATTAAAAAAAATGTTTGGCTCCTTATGATCTTTGTGCATGCAACTATAATATTAACACAGAACCACAGGACTGTTCATTAAGAAACGACTTTAAATGAGGTTGACACGTGTAAATCTGGAGAGATACAGATGTTAAATGCAGCCATTCCTTTCTGTATACAGCTGTATGGCTAATAATTTCCAAGTGGCTAAAGCTCTTATTAGCAAGAGTGCTGGTGTGTTAAGAATAGCCCTATAAATAACTTTAAGAACTGAACTTGAAGGTGCTTCTTTTAAAGACTATTGTTAACTACACATTATTGCCAAACAGATGGAAAGCATTCACCAGCCTGATGTTTTTAGGTCTAATTATATTATCGCCAGTCCTGTACGGCTCAGTTGAAGAGGTGTATCCAGAGGCCAATTTATAATCATTTAGCCAACACCTGTTTGGGAGAAATTGACAGTCAAAGGGCACATTTAAAAAAAAAATCACATATGTTCTTGTATTTATTGCCTCAATGTGAACAGTATCTAGCTACAAATAAACTTGGTAGAAGAAGATCAGAAAGTGACTGTAAACAAACCCTACTTCTTAACCATTTTATCCATCTTAATTTGGCATATCTTGTAAGTTTTTTATTTTATGCCTTGTGGCTAAGCAAGAACAGTAAAACCAGTTTCATTGCTATGATTTATTCAGCTGGCTTCTATTGTTTCTAAGAGCCCTATGCAGCAGGCTTGCAAAATCATCATGAAAATTCACCTGCCTAGCCATATTATCTACTCACCCACCCTTTCCATTATGATGAAAATTACATTTCACTCATCCATCAGAAAAATTAAATCTGGGTGAGTGGGCAAGAATTTTTTCAAGGCTGTAATAAAATAACTAAAATAATGTATATTTTAGTTAGCCCACATGCATTTTATTTTAAAATCTTCATGTTCAAATGATTGCATATTTTTCTATGTTATATGCTTGATCAGTATTATAGGAAGAGCATGTAATGACACATCTTTGGATTGCTTAATATTTTCCTTACAATCAATCCTTGAAATATTCCAACACACTTTTTATTTGTATTTGGCCTTTGAAATTGGGTAGGGAGAATATCTTGGAATGAAAGATCCCCAAATTTTGTTCAGGGTTGACAGTGTTAGAAATCACAAAATCCTCACTACCTTTCTCTTGCTTATGCTATCAAAATAAACAAATGTGGACAAAGGCCTGCACCCCTCTTGCCATATTAGAAAAATCTGCAAGTTGCTGACTATGCTTCTTGGATCCAGTGGAAGCCTTTGATTGTATCCCCCTCATTTGGCTCCTCAGAGCCCCAAGTTGGATGAGAGTTTCCCCAGCTCCTGGAGAAAAAGAGAAGTTGAGTACCGCAACTCCTGTACCCAGCATGTAGTCTCAGGACTCCTTCCTTTCATGGGAACCAGGCATTCCACATCTGTGTTGTACGCCTCCTGTTGCCCACTGGTCCCCACACCTGTTGCTAATGGCATATTATCCCTCTGCAGTAAATGAAATGGAAGCAAAAGATTTATTTAGTTTTGTAGCTTAAATTTTAGCATTCTTTGCTGAAGTTTGCTGAACTGTAAAACTGGCACTTCCTGTCTTTAGAGCACTAGACTTTGCAGCCTAAGTAATGTAGCTTTTTTTTTTTTTAAACATGCAACTATTTCCATTTGGACCTAGGAGCATAGTGGAGAAATTTAGGAGGGTGCATTTAAGAGAACAGTACAAAAATTGAATGTGCTATAGAAGGTGCATATCCTGTAACTGGGTTTTCCTTTTAGGACATTGATCTTCTGCATGTCCCATCCAGGTTCTTGTCTTACAACTGGTCCATATGCAGTGCATCTGCAGCTCTGTACTCTTGTAATTCTAGGGCAGTACCCTCAAAAGTATAGGGGTTTGCAAGAGCAATTTGGAGAATTTTGAACATCTGAAAGAGGTTCCCCCCCAAACCAGCACTGATACTTAATTTACTCATTAGATTCTTTCTCCACCATATTTCACATGTATGGCGTCAAGGGGAGAAGTCTGTAATGTAGTGCCATCGGAGTTAATGCATTGTAATAGAGACTGCCTTTTTAAGTTATATCTGTTCATTTTTATATAAATCTTTTCCCTGCAACTGATTGTAATACTGTAACATTGGTAGCAGTGTTTCCTTGCAGCCAGTAGGGTAACTAGGGCGGGGTGACTGGGACAGCTGTCCCGGGTGCTGACTTTTTGGATGGGGGAAGGGGTGGAAAAAAAGAATTGCCACCACAGCTGCATGATTGTGCTGGCAGAAGTTGCTGCTCCCCCTGTATGTCACAGCTGCTTCGGGCACCTGGTTGGGCTGTTACGCCTCTGCTTGCAGTAGTTTCTGCTGCTAGTTCTGAATGCATCAGAACAAAAAGCATGCTAAAGAGTTACACAGCAGTGACTATAGAGCCGATTAATGCATGTTTTCCTGGTGCCCGAGTAGGTTTTTGTCTTCAGAGAGTGCTCAGACTTCAGTTTGACATCCTAGGAGGGACTATGTAGTCCTGTGCTCAAAGCATAACCTCCTGGTAGGAAAGAAATGCTGCATATGAAAAATCTGGTAGTGTGAAAATAAGATACCTTTTGGGAGAAAAGAGTTTTGGATTAAACTGAGGTAATATAACAGTTCACATTGAAAATGGGGAGTAGGGGGAGTTAGTTTAATGCTGTGTGTGCAGATACTATTACATTTTCATAACTTGGGTTCTCCTGATAAATTATAGTCTTAAACATAAAATACCGGTTGTTTCAAAGCTGTTATTTATTTTATTAGGTCTAGATTTAAATCTTTAGGCAGATGATGGGTATGAAATACATGAATTCTTGCAGTACTCTAGAGACACCTTCCATCTACAGGCATATTTCTTTCTTTAAACAAAGGTCAATAGAGGTCTTACTAATACATTGTATGCTTTTTTTGTGAAAATATTTAGAAGTTGATAGAGTTGCTCTTAAGTAGTTTTATCTTAATGGGAAATGTATTTTAAAATTTTCTTTTAATATTATGTTTATTTAGGTTTTGCTCATAATGGATACTAGAACACAGGAAACGTTGATACTGAAAGTAAGTAAAACCTTTTTTTCCTTATACTTGGCCTGCTGACTTACTCTACACAAAAAATACTTTCCCCCTCTTTATTGCTGGAACCTCTGTGAATTATATTGGCACATTAAAAGTTGTAGCATTTAAATGTGTTTGAAATATATTTTAATTTTCTTTAGCATTCATCTCCTTTCTTTTCCTTTTCCTTTATACTCTCTCTCGTGTTGCATACCTCTTGTGTTGCTCGCTGCTAGTGATAGCAGCATGATCATTGAAGCCAAATCCTTGCTAGGATTTAGTAAAGAATCACAGTTATGTTAGATAGCTTCTGGGTGTAAGCCAATTATTAATTGAGGATGAGAAACTTTTCCTTTGCACAAGTTGTATTTGTCTACTCCATTGCTTGTGGCTTTTTTTCCTTTAAGCATCTGGTGCTGACCACTGTGAGATGCAGGATAGTTGAGACGTACCACTGGACTGATCTCGTGTAGCAGTTTCTATGTTCTGGTAACTATAGGTTACAGGATATTGCTTCTGATTTACTAGATTAAAGTCTTTCCTGTGTGGGATCATCCTTCAGGTGTGTCTCTGGTGAATCATTAAGATCAAATAAAAATTCCTATGCCAGACTAGTGAATCTGTGATGCTGGGAACTGGTTTGAAAGCTCGATGCTGCAGTCCTTATTCACAGCATTATATTGGCTCAACTTAAACTACTAATGTGGTTAAGGGCTGTAGAATTGGAGCCCACAGATTGTTCTGTAGTTGTACCTTAAATTCATATCTGCTCTGTGTACACACTGTGAACTCTGCATTTACTGTAGTCATCTTGCTTTTGAAATCCTAGTACGCTTTCTATACAGAAAATTTTCAAATGTATACTTTAGAAGTTAACAGTTTGTAAATATTATACCATTCAAATATTAGACCTTGGGTTAAAAAACATCTTTGCATCTACAGGCCGAATAGAATAAATTTATAATTCCCATTTAGCTGGTTAGATTTTGTTTCTCAATATAAGAGAAGGTCATTCTCTTGAACAATAACAAAACATTGAAATACATTTCCACAGTAGTTCTTTTCCGTTTTTAACTTCAGTTTGTGTCCCCTCTCAAAATCCTTGCCTCCTTCAGGAAATGGATCTCTCCTATTATTATTTTTGTTTTAAACTATTGTGGAAATGTAAGGATAACTTATAAAGCTGAGGTTTTTTTTTCTTTAGAAATCAGACTGATTTTTAACAGTGTCTTTTGGTCCAAAAAAATAAAATTAAAAAAAAAAGGTCACAGGGAAATAACTGAGTGTCATCCTGATGACTTAGTTTGAGAGAGATTCTAATAAAAACATTGACCCATGTAATTGATTTTAATGGCAGCTTTGTGCCATCTTCTGTTTTCTGGAAATGTGCCAGATGCCATCAGCAGAGCCTCAGGGGACTGAGGGGCATAGAGCAGCAGATGAGTGGTTTCTCTGAAGCCCAGAGTAACTCGGATAGATTAGTTTGGTTGATAAACACAGAGCACAGCAGGCTCCAAAGGCAACTGAGGGTACAACTGACCTTTTTGTTCTCTGTCAGGGTCTAAGGAAAAGTAGTGAGTACAGCAGGAACAGAAAGACCATCATCCCCCGCTGTGTACCCAACATGGTGTGTCTGCACAAGTACATCATCTCTGAGGAGTCTGTATTTCTTGTGTTGCAGCATGCAGAAGGTTTGTCTTTGGTTTTAAGTACATTGTGAAAAAGAATCAAAGGTTTAGCTCTCAATCAATTTTATATTTAAATGTCAAGTTAATTTCTTATATATTATTTTTCTGTACAAAATCTTTCCAGTCTCTCTCTCAGTAATGACATTATTCTTTTTTTCCTTCTTTTTCTGAATCTCTTTCTTGTTTTGAATTGCTCAGAAACCTGATGAGATGTTTGAACTTTAATAATATTGAACATTTCTAATCGTTTATTTTCTTCAGGAGGAGTAACTGCTTTGACTGAAACAGAAATCTGCAATCTGTACAAGTAAACTGTAGGGGCAACATTTTTTGCCACTCTTGTGATCTTTGGCAAGTAAGACTTTTTTAATGTTCTGTACTTAAACAGGCATTCATCTTCATAAGAATGTAATAATTGTTTTAAAAAAACCCAAGAACATTTGCCTACTACTTAATATTACATAGTTATTCTGATCTGGGTTTTTAAGAAAATAGCCAATGGCATCATATAGAAGTTCAAAGCAGAGCCACAGAGTTGTGCCTTCAAACTATTTATAAAATTCATGTTATATGTACAGGGAGCAGGTGGCAAAAAATAATTACATTTTGATTTTTTGCTCTAACACCTGGATTTAAATATTCCCTAAATGTAATTACCCCTTTTTGTTTAGAATGAGTACAGAATATAAATTTTGGTTTTGCTAATATAAGGAGATACTACTAATTCAGCCATAATGGATGATTGGTAGGCACTGAACTGGTTTATAGAGGGACTGATTTTATTACAATGAATTGTATTCCTTTTTATTTTCAATTATTTAGGTTTTATCTTTGCACACACCACTTGTGTTACAATAAAAATTGCAAGGTAATGAAAGTTGACATTATAATGCGAGCAGTTACCTGTTTAGCACCCTGTGTTTGTGTTGATTCTGCAGTGGGCAGTGACCCATAAAGGAAGACCTTACGGTTTTAGGCTTCCTTGTGGTGAACTCAAAAGGTTAGAGTGCTATTATACATTGTCTTCTGGAGGTACAGAGAATTCATCAAGAGAATTTGAAAGCTGTCAGCTGAGTTCTGACTTGAATGTGTACAGAGCTTAGAAAAAGTGTTGGGAATCCGTTGGTGCTCATGGCAAATTCAAGAGGGCAGGGCGGAGACAAAAAAAATATCCAAATGAAGTCATATCATTAGCATTCCCACTTAAGAGAACCTAAGAATTAGCCCGTCCTTGGAGGAAAAACTTTTTTTGTTCACACATGATGACAAGGTAAGGAAGAAATGGTATTCAGTGGGGAATTAACTGGGTGGAGAATTAGCAAACACCTTAAAAAGAGTTTGAATTGCCAAACGAATTGCCACAGCACAGCACAGCACAGCACAGCACAGCACAATCCATTGAAAAATTACTGCTTCCAGGAAGGAATATTTAACTTTGGCTATAATGAAGGAAAGGGGAAAATGGAGATGTTACTTCGTATGTAAAAGCAGAAAGGTTGGCTGAATATTTGGACTGCATGGGGCAGTTGCTATTAAAGGAAAAGCTACTCTCCTGATCGTGCTAAATGTCACTGCAAATCTAGCAATTTCTTCTGGCTTCCTTATTCTTGCTGAAACCAAATATAACAAGTGTTTTTAAGTTCCCCAGGAGAAATTTAATTTGTTTAAACTGCTGCTAAATCCTTACTTGGTATAAATTATATAGGACAAAAAGTTTTATTTCCAATTTCTTTTGTACATTAGGTTTAACAGAGCAGCCTACCACTTAGAAGTGTATCTGGGTTTAGCTCTGTCCATATTCAGTTAAATACACCCTCCCTCGACATTTGTATTTAAAAAGTCAGATACAGTGTTTTACGGTAAAGCACTGTTTGTTTATGTGGGGGGCAAAACAGTAACTAAGCACTTACTGCTTCTTTCCTAAATCTCAGTTATGCAAAGCAATATAAGCAGACTCTCATAGCCTGAAATGACCCTAACCATCTCTTTCTATCCTTCACTGAAGCCCCATTGTACCGGGCCCTATACACACACGTAACAACACAGTCTCTGGCCCTGCTCAGTGCAAATAGTTGAAATATCCAGGATAGACAAACAGGGAGTAAGGATGTGAGGGGCATTCCTATTTAGGGAGTGGGCACTACAAGCTGAAGTAACTTGCCTCAGGCTGTACACAGGAAATGGGTAGAAGATCTAGGAACCTAACTTCAATCTCCAGAGTCCCTGTCTGTTGCTTGACCCAGAACTATCTGTGCTCCATTACACTGTCAGTTACTGAAATTAGAGAAAACTTGTCTTTGTTTTTCTGATGTTCAGGGTATTACATTGATGCCAGCCGTCAGGGTTCTGCAAGTCACTGGTTTGCATGCCAAAGGTAATTTACCACCTCTGTGTCATAAAGCCAGCGCTGAAACTACCTGGACACTAGAGTTGGAACTCTGACTGACATAGAGCCCTGCTCTGAACTTTTTTGTAAGTTTGGCACTAAAAATATAAAGGAGGTGCTTGATATCAAAACGGGGAGTTTTGGTAATGAGAATGGTACAGTTTTAAGTGACTAAGTAAAACTTTTAAAATTGTTGGATAATGTCGAAAAGAAAACAAGAGTGTAGGGGTGCACTGATAAGATTTTCTTGGCCAATACCAATAGCCAATTATTAACCAGCCATATCAGCTGCTACCAATCTGAGAGCAGGTTTACAAGACTGCAGCCTGGCAGTTGGAGAGCAGCCTCCTGCCACCAAGTCTGTTGGGGGGAGGGGCGTGGGGGAGGGAAAGGGTGTGGTGGGGGGCAGATCAAGGTCCCCACAGTGAGGGAGGGAGCAGGACGGGGATGGGGCTGCCCAACCAGGGTGGTGAATGGGATCCTGGGGCCAGGAGAAAGACAGAGCTATGGGGACCTTGTTCAGGGGGTGCAGGGTGGTGGGGAGGAGGGGCAGTTCCTCACCACTGTGTGCACCCTGGGGAAGTGGCATAGGGGGCATGTGTCTGTCCCCCCGTCGTCCCCCCCCATCAACCCCCCCAGAAATGTGTGTGGGGTGAGGGTTGGCTCCCCACTGTGGGCTCAGGACCAAAGGCAGTGCCAGCCTCTTCCTGGCGGGGGTCTGGGCTGGGGCTGCGCTTGGAGTTGGCAGGGGCAGGCTCAGCTGCGTGGGGCAGGTGGCAGTAGTGGCACTGGGAGCAGTGGCTATGGGGGTGCTATGGGGAATTTTGGGGTGGCCACAGCCCCCCCACAAATCCCTCCTAGAGCTGCTACTGTTCATGCAGCTCCTGGCTCCGAGCCTGCAGTGGGCACCCCATCCTCAGGGGTGCACACAGCGGCGGGGAGCTGCCCCTCCTCCCCACGCCCCCTGGACGAGCCACTTGTGGCTCCATCCTGCTCCCGGCCCTGTGGTCACTTTCACCACACTGTCCTGGTAGTGCCTGCCCCTGCCCCACTCCCTCCCTCACTGTGGGGGCCTCAATCTGCCCCTCCCCCCCACCTTTCTTTCTCCCCACAGACTTACTGGCAGGATGCTGCTCTCCAAGCTGCGAAGCTCCATTCCTGGCTGCATTCATGCAGCGACGTTTTATCAGCGACATTATTGGCGAAGAAAAGCTGATTGCCAATGATGTTAACTTTCCTGTTATTGGTGCCAGTTTGATATATGACCGGTGTCTCTCTGCACCTTTACAAGAATGTACATGAAAGTAATACTTCAGGCCAGTTCACCAGAACTACCAAACTGATGGTTGTATATATGTGCACACAAACTCAGAGAAAGGTCTATGTGTGTGTAATATATATTATATATAATTATATATATTACATACACGCGCACACACTTCCCTGCACATAAACTCAGAAGTAATGCTAGCACCTTTGAGAGGCTAAACAGGCTTTTTTTAGTTAGGGAGTAAATTCTCAATCTTTTGATCAGAAACTTTTAAGCAAGCAAAAGATTCAGCCTTTTGAGTGAGCGAGGAAACTTTAAAGGACAAGCAAAAGGTTTTTTTTTAAAGAAATTAGTCTGAAGTAGCTATAATTTCAGAAGACTTCTGTAGCATTTTTAGTAAGAATGTCTACCTTCATAGCTTAGAAGATTTTGTTAACCAGTGATAGATATAGATCTATCAATCTATCTAGATATTACACACACACACACACACACACACACACACACACACGATATGCATTAGTTATTTTTGGGGAAAGGTCAAAGATTTCAGGAACGATACCTGTTTGGCTGTTAGTGCCTAAAATTGTTTCACTGTTTTATGAATCTTCTATCAGCAAATTTTTAAAAGTTTATTCTATTAGAAAGGATCATTTTTTTAATAGTAATATGTTTATATATTTGTCCCAGGGTGGTGAAGAGGCCATGAATTGTACCTGGGTGTATGAAATTTAAGAAAAAAAATAATTTAACTGGACAACAATTTGAATGATGATATACTCAGGAAAGATTTTAAAGTTGCATATGAAGGGAACTGCTTATTTGCTAAAGGATTTGTTTTTTATTTTATTCCCTTTTACTGCAAAACTTCTGTCTATTATCAGATTTAAAACTGATGCTTTTTTCCCCCCATGGATTCAGAAAAATTGATTTCAGATATTCCTTAATCAAGAAGAAAACCTTGTTTTGCCAAGAAGTGGTGATGCTGTCAGTCGGCCAGCTACAGTGAATGAGGCTAAAGGATACTCTCAAAGGCTTTTCCCAAGGTGCCAATAGAGAGGGTTTCCAAGATGCATATTGAAAGCAAGAAAGTCCATAAAGTTATTTGATAGCTTTGTCAGAAAGCATTTGGCAAGATCATATTATGGTGGAGAGCCAGCCTGATGTTAATAAGGCCTTACTTCTTCTTGGCACTACCAGAGCCAGAAATTTTTGAAACAGATGCTTCAGAAGCAGGCTGGGTGGCTTTCATGGGACATCAAAATTGTAGTGGCCATTGGAAACTGTCAACTTTCTGTAAGTACATACAAGCTGGAGTTTGTATCAGTCTGGAGAGCGCTCAAGAAA